GCCCGTGGCCATGTCTAGTTCAAATACTATATAGTACAACTTTTTTTTTTCCTTTTTTTTCTATTTATTACATAAGTCACCGTTTAATAGTATGCAGTTTAATCGGCAAAAATTCAATTTTGGTCCGCTAATTTGGACAATTTTGGTACACTAACTTGTCCTTCATCAAAAAAGGTCCATTATGTTACACATTTCATCAGTTTTAGTACGCTAATCCCGTGGCCCGTAATTACGAGATGCCAAATCAGTTTTTTATCCTACCACGTCAACATCTTATCCCTCCACGTAGTTCCAATCTCGGTCCACATCATCTCGTAATCCCGCCAACTGGATTAGTGTACTAAAACTGATGAAAAATGTAACATAATGGATCAATTTTGATGAGGGACAAGTTAGCGGACCAAAAGTGGACAATGGACAAGTTAGAGGACCAAAATTGAATTTTTACCCAGTTTAATCACTACAAGAAAAAATACATTCGGCCACGCTTATTTTTTTCTGACATCAAATTTACTGACGCTTATTTTTGTTTACTGGCGCTTATTTTTTTCTGACATCAAATTTAACAACACAACTCGCAAATAAACGTCAGTAATAAGCGTCGTCAAATGCAGTTTTTCTTGTAATGATACTTGTCTACTTGCCAACTGACTTTATTAGTATAATAATTTAAGTTTATAATTCTCCAATTAGAGATGGTCAATATAAATCACAAACATATAACCCAAGGACTTTTTAAACGATTTGTAATTTTTTTTTCTTAATATATGGGGTATAGGATATTCGTTTGAATTTTTCCAATCCTTTTAACATTTATAAATGTATTTAATTTAAATTTTTTAAGATTATCTTAAAGTTTTTGATATCCATTTGACATTTTAATCCGGACTTGATAAAAAAAATTATATATAAAATCTCACTCCTAATTTCAGATTCAAATTTAGGGGTTGATTGTTTATGGAATAATTTGTCAAAATGAGTTATTTTGGTTAACTGTAGTTAATTTTGAAAAAGGTGTATGGTTAGTTATTAGTGGAATTTTAATAATGTGTTAAAATAATATTTAATATAAAATGATTAAAATTAATTTGATGTAAAAGTAAAAGATAAATGATTGAAAATAATTGAAAATGATAGATAGTTAAAATTATGTGATTGGATAAATAGTGAATTAAAGTTGATGTGATGTGTAAGAATGATTGATTTGTATTATTTAATTATATGAATAATATTAAAGATAGTGGAGTTGAGTTACACTTGAGTTAAATTTTGAGTTAAAATAAAAGTGAGTAAAATAATTTGTAAACAATCAACCCCTTAATATTTTCATAGGATTCCTCCCAAAATTTGAAAATTGATTTTCAAATTCTCAAATCTCAAAACGTCACTCTATATCCCAAACCAATACACCACCACTACAAAAAAAAAAAAAAAAAAAAAAAAAAAAAAAAAAAAAACAATGTTATATTCCAAATGATATTTTAATGGTATAGCTTCCATAAGAATGATTAGAACGGAAACTCCAATGAAAATATTGAGTTGGAATGATTTTTCCGTTGGAAATTTAAATGGTATTTCATGATTCCAACGGCTACTTTTTGTAACGACTTTTTACCGTAGGAATTTTCGTTGGAATTTTTTATTTCCACCTCCGCTGGAAAATCTAACGTTGAAATCGTCAAAATCCAACGTAAATATCAATGAAAAACTCATTCCAATGGAACACTTTTGTTAGAATTTCCATTAAAATTCCATCAAAATCTATATATATATATATATATAGAGATTGGATCCAATGAGTACACATATTTAAAGTGTGAATGTGAGACCCATTCCTAG